GAGATAATTCACAATAATGTTACAATAGTAACGTTTGAAGTAACCTAAAATGTTTACTTCCCCAAGTAGAAGTAAAGCTCAGGGAAGGGCATCGAGTAGTTCCTGTTGTTACAAAGAACATTTCTCTTTATAGAACCATATTTTCTCCCATAAAAACACATTAGCCACATTATTAGGAACACAGAAGCAAATAAGAAATGTTAGACCAGAAATGTCGACCTGTACCCCCTTAAATAAAAGTCTTCACTTAATCCACATAAGATTTTACAGGGATGTACAATGCTCTGTTCATAACACAGTTAAAGCATACACAGCAGCATATCAATGGAAAAAAAGAATCTATCATTCATGGTCGGTTTCATATAATCCCTTTTATCAGACAATCTGTAGAAGCTCCAGATTGCTTTATTTATTTCAGCTCCTGAACCTCCTTTAGTCTCACCTATGAGCATGAAGGGTCTTATCAGTAGGATTAGGTAAAATAAACCAGCAAGGATCAGTGGGAGTCAGCACCTGACTAGGCCAGCACCTAGAGCACACCTGGATTAGTTTTAGGACAGGGCAAGCTGTCTCAGAGCTGTGGTAATGATTGAAAAATATGCCTGTAATTGCTGATAAGCTCTTTAATGTTTCAGTAAACTCTTTTTTGCCGCTGAGTTTACCGACCCATAATTTGTCGATAAACTCTTGCTTTGTAGTGTAACGTCAAGGGCTGGCGGCGTCTTTGAACCAATTGTCCTCTCACGGTGTGAAAGGTGTGCGCAGCATTTAGAGAGTTCTGCAAAGAGTTCAAGAGGGCATGTGCATGTAAGGACATGTGAGACAGAGTAAAGGAAAGGAGGTGAAGACGGTTTAGCTTGATCAGATCAGATTCAGCATTAAGAGACCTTCCAAATTCCACCTGCAACCAGATAATCCAGGTCAACTACGTCTTGCTATTGATGTTGTTTTTGAATCAGTTGTGAGCATTATCCACACTGCTGACGTGTCCATCAGCAACACAGTAAATCGTACCAGTACTCTTTGTGCCGCACTATGGCCGACCCTGACCTCTGAAAGATTTTTCCTTAATGGATCAATATAGTATCACATCACTAGCTTTGCTATTTATAGTCGTGAAGGAAAAGGGAAACAAGTCAAAGAGTTCAAAGCCTTGCTAGCAGCTCTGTGAGGCTGTACTTAAGCACAGCTGTGCTTTGAGCTAAATGCTAATGTCAACATGCAAACATGATCACAATGACAGTGCTAACATGCGGATGTTTAGCAAGTATGATGTTTATCACACTCTTATTTTAATGTGTCAGCATGTTAACATTGCTAGCACTAAATATGAATTACAGCTGCAGCTGAGGCTAATGGGAATGTCATTTGTTTTGCAGATATTTGGTCATAAACTATATTGGGCAAATTAACATTTTGACCTGATGATGACGCTAGAAGAAAAGTGAAAAGTTATGGTAATCCATGCAGTAGTTGTTGAAGTATTTTAGTGTGGACCAAAGTGCACCGATTGACACTGCTGCACCGCTAGCATGGCTAAAAACACTTGGCTTGGATAACTTGTAATGTCAAATATCTTGGAAACCTGAGTCATGTGTCTCTAGTTTGTCATTTTGAAAGGCAAGTTACAACCACTTCTGAAGTTAAATGTTTCTCTCACAAGGAAGGGCTATATTGTACCAGTAAACTCAGTAGGAAACATAGGCTACTGCACCTGCCACACAGGAACAATAAATTCTCATCTCTGGCTGCAAGTTGGTGACATTGCTTCAGGGGCACTGCAAGGCGGGATTACCTGCCACGTAAACTGTCCCCAGATCCACAGGAGCCCGACAATCCATGGGTTACCTGAATGTCATTGGTTAATTGAAAATTTGCTGCTGTCTTGCATTCATCTTTTGTCCAGTCTTTAAGAGGGGCTTTATTTCAAATTAAAATTTCAATAGGCTCCTTTAATTATTTTAGTTTTTTGTTACATTGTGCATTTTCCTAAATGAAGGAAGTCCCCGTATCTCACAAAAACATCCAAAAATCAGCTTTTATTTATTTAGTTCTTAACTTATTAACTTGTTTTCTTGCTTCCTGTATCTGTTTTGATTATTTGGGTTAATTTTTTTGGCACTATCCAATTCATTCTCACAACTTTTGTTGGCTGTCTGATGCAGGCCTTTCAAATACTCGGTTTTAATGATTAAAGAAGAGTCATTTTGGACTACCATAAGGGGACTCAGCTTAAAGCACCATCTGATCCCTTCAAGGAGAAAGACAGCGCTGCTCAGACGAGGCCAGCTGACACTGGAAGCAGGGGCTCAGTTTCAGGCACTGATTCAATTTAATTTGAGCGCCTCTGTCAACAGGCCCCGGTGACAGATTTACCCGCGGTATGCCTATTCAAATTACTTTCAAATCATAAAAGCAAGGAAACATAAATTGGAGGGAAAGAGGTTGAGAGAAACAGGCAGAAAGCAGCACCGGTGTCCCTGGAGCAAATTACCTCTATATCAGCGCCGGAGACAGGCGGTGATCTGCCTGATAGAGAGCTGAGGGCGAGAGACACAGAGTCACACTGGCGAAGGAGAAAGAGAGCGAGAGAGGTGGGAGGACCGGCAGGACAGCTCCAATTTTCTGGAGGTCAACTACACGCCTGTACACGCACCGACCAATTACATATCATGAGTGAGGGTCTTCAAAATACAGCCCCCCCCCCCCGGTGAAGGCTAGTGTTTTATTCATATCAGCAGAATGGATTTCAATTTCCTGAGAGACGCGGTTTAGAGGTTTTGGGTGCAGGCTGGAGCTGCGGTTTGGATTAGACTGTAACACTGGGACATCTAAAGCAAAGACATATGCACCGACTATCATGAAAAAGTGTTTGGCCACTGAAGCTACCATTGGTTAGACGTTTATTTCTAGAAAGATTTAATCGCGTGGAAACAAATAGTGGAAATTGTCTAATTGGGCTAAAACCAATGATGTTTTTCATTAACAATACATTTTCTTACAATAATCCGGTAGCAAATGATGAAAAATGTCCACAGTGAGTTCTCAGAGCTCAAGGTGGCGTCTTCAATTGTTTTTGTTTTGTCTGACCAACAAGCAAGAACTCAAATATTTAACGTTTATTATCAGAAAATATTCTCATTCAAGATGCTGGAATTAGTCAGTTTGAATTTTTAGAAATAACTCAACCTTTAGAAAAATGATCAATCTTGTTGTCAATTAATTTTATGTCGATCAATTCCTTCACCTCTATTGTTAAATGCTACAGGTTCCTGTGAGGATTCCAGGATTTTTGTTCTTATCATATTCAAATTCGATAACTTCAAGCCAATATACTGTGCGTGTAAACAGTGAATAAATACAATATTCAGTATTTCCCCACCAGAATTATATTCCTGTGGTGATGTTTCAAACAAAATTTACAGAAAATATAACTTAACATTTTTATAAAAAAAGAAAGAAAAGAAAATATTTATATAATTAAGATGCTTTTATTTTGGGGGGTTGTGGGTTTCTGGGAGTGACCCTGCAATGGTCCTGACTGTCAATATTAAGTTTAATTTTAAAAAAAGAAAGAAACAAAAAAACAAGCTTGGATTAAGTTTAGACATCATGGATCAAAACGTTGTATTTTCAAAATAAAAAGTGACCAGAGTGTAGGGAGTGCTCTCCGTTATTTTACAAATTTTAACCAAATGTTGAGCATCAGTGTTGGCCCCACATTTATTTGAGTTGCATCAAGATGCAGATTCTCAGTATGGTTCATTACAGTCTCAAATAATTTACATTTTAACAAATCGATTTCGTCTGCAGCACATTTAGACCTGGCTATACCTGTTTATTATAGGCCTACAGCACTCGATTATTATTATTTTTTACAAGTTTTTATATTTTTCAGTGAAATAAGGGAATGCTGTATTCAGCTGACAGACATGTAGCAACCATGTTGAAAAGCACAAGTCTCCACTTCAGTTGGTTCACCTCCGCTTTCTCGGGTCTTAAAATGGCATTAGTTCACATTAAGCAGAAGGCCAATTAACTTATAGCCTTCTGCCAAGTCATTACACTTTTATACGGTTTGTGTGCAATTCTTGGTCGTAAACTTTAATGGTATCGGTATGGCCTTAGTATGAGAGTGAAGCAAGCCTTTAATATATTAATGATTTAAAATCTGGAGTAGACACAGCATGTTTTTCTGATCTTCACCCAATCAAAGGGACCCAATAACATTAAGGCTGCTGAAAAACAGCCAATATTCGGTGCTAAGGTGTAGGGGATGTTTGCAGCACTAATAATGAGTTTGGACAAGCAAAGCGGTGTATATAATTCTTATGTTTATGGCAAGGTAGCTGCAGTCTGTGGCGAGTATGAGGAGCTGGCAGTAAGATAGATACTGAAAATACAATTGGCTAATCTTCTAATGTACCTCCGCGCTTTGATGCAGTTGAAGGTGTTTGCAGGCGGGACAAGGGTTGGACATTACCTCACTCTGAACGCTTTCTGGGGGGAGAAACGAGCGAGTAATTAGCTGATTAGGGGCCCGTCAGAGCAGCTCAGCCTCCAGCCAATCCCAGCTCACAGCGGCCCGCAGGGGTGGAGAAGGACGGCTGATGGTGCAAAACACATACCTCTGTGGTTTGTGAAGTTGGTATTAAACAGCAGGGGGGGACGCAAATGTGACATGTGTAGGTAGGCTACAGTTCAAGGAAATAGATGCAGGGATGCACGTGAAAACGTCAATAATTTAGAGTCCGTCTGTCGAGAAGCAAGTTTTTCTCAAGATTAGTCCTCACAAGTTGATCATGTTCATTTCTGAACAGCATATAGCTTGAGTCGATCCGCCCAGCCTGAACTTTTATGAAAAGATAAGGAAAACATATGAGTGTGTGAGTGGAAGAGTTTCTGTTGTCTGCGCGCAGACGCACGGCACAGGTGCGCACCAGCCCAGCTTGACCCGTTTGTTTCTTTAAGACTCTGCAGTCCTCCCGAGAGACGGCGTCATGGAGAAATCGAAGAACTTCAGGATTGACGCTCTGCTCGCTGACGAGACCAACCGGGGGAGCCGCGACCTCTCCCCCGGTCTCAGTAGCGACAGTCCCGCGGGCAGCCCGGTCTCATGCCGCCGTGCGGACACCCCGTCTCCGCGGGCCTCCCATCTTCAGACCGGAATAATCCCCAAACCGGGTGTCCTCAATCTCCCGCATCCAGGACTTGCTTCACTGCCCCAGGGGGCGATTCCCGGCATGTATCCTGCACCCATGTACCCATTATCGGCGTTGGGTGGCCAGCACCCCGCGTTCGCTTACACCGGTTTCACACAGCTAACGCAGACCTACCCGGAGCACCTGAAGGCTGCCATGGCGGGATCTCTTCCCCTGGAACACTGGATCCGCGCTGGGATCATGATGCCACGACTGCCAGATTACAGCTGTAAGTATGATGATTATTTTGCAAATTCAAAACTCAAAGAGTCTAAAAAAGAGCGAACTGGCAGTTGCAAAAAAAATATAAGACTGACTGTCACATGTGCACCTGCATGAACCGTTTTCCATCATCAGTGTTTACGGGAAGGTGCAGGATTTCATCAGAGAACTGAGGTATTGCAAACTCATTGAAAAAAAGTGACAATGTTTCTGTTATTGTTATTATTTTTGTTGTTTAGTGATCGTGTCACAATCATTTGAATAATAATGATAATAATAACAACAACAACAACAACAACAACAACAACAATAATAATAATAATAATAATAATAATAATAATAATAATAATAATGAAATAGACCAAACAGATAATTCTGTTAATTTGTTTTTTAGTTTTAGTTTTGAATTTATTGTTTGTTTCCTTGTTTTAATTTTCAGAAGAGGCGAAGCTATACCAGTATTTCACTGATTCTCTGATACACATGATTTTTCCTTTTGCTTCGTTTAATTTAATATAATTTCTAAAATCAAACACGGACAGTCTAAGCCTTTTGGATTTCTTGATTCAAGCTGAAAAAGCACTAGGCTACGTCGCAATAAATTGCACAGTGTAATTATAATTTACAACCTGTCTGAAAGCACGCTTTCAATGCCACGATCTGTAGCCTAGATAATATTTTATTCAAGGTAACGCCGTAGATCTTCATATATTTAGTATTAATAACAGCCCTACATCGTCCCGTACAGTAGCCTACGATGGGTTCGGTTCGCTTCTTCTCTGTGTGCCATATTTTAATTTTGGCCCATTCATTTCTCTATAAACGCCAACCCGATGGAAATTGTCTTTGTGTGACGAAGAAACTATAAACAAACACCTAAAACGTTCTGTAGTTCATCAATAAAATCCCAAAAGCCTTCATTGAATTTTCATTAAGTTAATGGCATGCCTGTGTTTTTATGGCCTCTGCGCCCGCTTCTGCTGTTTCCCCCCCGTCAACAATAAACTGGAGTAAAGCTGTTATAGTTAATGATGGCCAGAGAGTGCGGGCATATGTGCATGTTCCCACCCACAAAATTATATTGAACTTCCTATGTCCTTGGTATTATATAAAGAAGACTATTGGCAGTGTCTGCTCAAATATTTCAGATTCATTTCAGACCAGAATCTTCAATAAAGGCCAAATATTTCCAAATATGTTGAATTATTATAAAATATATATTCAGAGACACAAAAACATTCAAATTATTCAAACATGAGTATTAATTTTAAAACCAAATGAATTAATGAAGCTCTGGTGGCTAATATCAAATAAGAGGTAAGTTGTCATGAAATAAGTGTAAATAACTACTGACATGAAACCACAGCCAAAACAGACTGATAACTCTGCTCTTCCTCCTCCAGCGGGCCCTCAGTCCGGTCTGTTGGGGAAGTGCCGGAGGCCTCGCACCGCCTTCACCAGTCAGCAGCTCCTGGAGCTGGAGAACCAGTTCAAACTCAACAAGTACCTGTCCAGACCCAAACGCTTTGAAGTGGCCACCTCACTCATGCTGACTGAAACACAGGTAAGACACACTTGTTCACTTCAAAAGCCGACAGGTTCATTCCAAGGTAAGAAAAAAAAGTTTATCACAGAAACAAGAATCAGGTGAGAAACCAATGAGTAATGTGTTCTCCGAAAGGTATTCGCCCAAAGCTACAGGCAAGCCACAGCACCTTCATCCAACTAGATAACTGGAATTTAACAGACTTATACTTCTGTAACTAAGACCAGTTACATCTTCTGATAACTCATGCGGGTAACAGATATTTTAATTTATTTAGTTTCATCATTAGTTTTTTTTTTATTTAATCAGGAAAGCCAACTGAAATCAAAACTCTCCCTTTCCACAGACAAATAAGATCAATAATGCAATATATGCCACAAAATCAGAATTAAACAGAGATATGATATAGTCATGTAAAAATATTTCATCCTAAAAACCACTGAAATACCACCTTAAAATAAGCTGTTTAAAACCACAAAAATACTTAGGACCAATCCATTGGTAATTTGTAATGCCACTGCATTGTTAAATGTTAAATAAAAAATAATTCCTTCATTCTGGGAAACCACTTTGTATCTCACTGAAGCATTGATGAATTATATTAGATTATAAATACTGGCACATTCTTCCAAGTCCACAGCACAAACCAAACAATTCACATATTGTATTGTTTTAAAATATGGTTTATGGTGTTATTACCACAGTTGATGCAGTGTGTGAGCATTCATCCTGAAAGATAAAGGTGAGAAAGAAGGTGAAAGAATAAAAAATAATTGCTTTTTATGAACTATATGTTATTTTTGAGTTGGAGGTTCTTCACTTTTACTTGAATTGGATCAAGAAAACACATTATGTGCATGCTCTTTCTGCATTTCAATGGGAAATGTAGTTAGGAAATTTTTGATATCGGATAAATGTATATTTAAATCAAGTCAATTTTATTTGTGCTATATAGTCCAGAATGACAGGAACAGCATTAGGAAAACTGGTATAAAAAAATGTTAGAAACCTCAGGGAGAGCAACTGAGGAGGGATCTCTCTTTCAGGACTGGCCTTCACAGAGACATTACATAAAAGAAATAAACATACTAGCAGTTTTTAGAATGACTTGATGTACTAACAAAAATATGTTTAAATCTGTTCAGAAAAACTCTGGGGTGTATTTCCTTAATGTCTCTTCTGAACTAATTTTCTTTTGCTCTTTGATCTCTCGGCAGGTCAAGATCTGGTTCCAAAATCGAAGGATGAAGTGGAAACGCAGCCGCAAGGCGAAGGAGCAGGCCACCGCGTCGGCCCAGTCTGAGGCAGAGCGGCTACGCAGTGGAGGAAAAACAGCCTCCGACAAAACTGATGAGAGCAGACGAGCTGTGAATCCGGATGATGGAGGGATAGATCTTGACATGGAGGATGGGGAAGAGGAGGAAGAGGACGAGGAGGAGGAGGAGGAGGAAGAGGAGGAGGAAGCCCGGCATGGTTTTCCTGTTGCAATAGGAAACAGTGTTGGGATGCCACGATCCACGGACTTCTTGCAGCGTGGCACTGATGTTGGCTACAACCCCCACAGCCCTTTCTCTGATGAGGAGCTGGAGGGGGTGCAAGTAGGAGGAGGTGACAGGAAGATTGGGGCAGGACTGTGAGAAGACACCCAGAATTTGCTGGTTTGATTTCCTGTTTGTTACAGAGACATTACACTGGGACATATCTGTGTTTGTGGATACTAGAGAAGACACATTTCCAAGCCTAATGGTCTTTGTCCAGTCTGCTCTGTGAATGTTTATGTGTTCCAATGAGGACATTTGTTGGAATCACTAATTATTCACACAGCTTCCAAACATACACAGGACTATGACACAAATATACTGTATAAACTGTCTGTGAATAGATCCATCCCTTAGTACTGCACATTTCATAGCATGCTGAAAAAAAGGTGCTCATCTCCTCCCTAAATTTTAGCTGTTTTCGTGAGTAACTGCCAGTCACCTTGTCTTCGCTCCATCCACTGACAGCTGGAGCTCCACTCAGAGAACGCACACGTGCTACACAAATGAAGGATGAGAAGTAAAACAAGTGAACTGTTCAGACAGCGTGAGAATGTACAGTAGGTGAGGCTTCCCCAGGGTCACTAAAACAAAAAAAGTCAAAGTTAAACAAGCTGTGTGATGTTGTGTCTGAAGAAACAACACAGGCTTAGAAACATCTGCTGCCCTGGATGTTTTTAAATACCTTGCAGAACATCCCATGTATTATATTTACTTTTGTGCATTTTATGTGAATATTGATGTTTTCTCTTTTTTGTTCTTGATGGTGTTTATGAATTTGTTCCTGTCACCTTTCTCACTTACATGTAAATGAATTTAATTTATTTGAATGATTGCAAAGATGAATCACACATGTATTTATCTGAGACTAGTTGTGTAGCTGTGAAATAAAAAGAACGACAGCAAAACAAATAAAAAAAGAGCTGAAGAATTAATTTTTGATCACTGTTTCTGTTTTGTATGCACTATAAAATTTTAATAGCCTATATTAAATGAGTTTGTCATGCTCCCCTTGCAGCACTTCCATACTGTAAGATGTCAAAGAACAGAAGACATGGAGAAAATAAGGCCAAGTGTCTAGAGCCACACCACCAGGCTGAACGTAGAGCACAGCACCACTTTGAGCTAAATGCTAAATGTCAGCATGCTAATTTAGTCACAATGACAATGTTAACATGCTGATATTAAGAGGGTATAATGTTAACTGTGTTAACCATCTAGTGTGGTATTGTGCTAATATTTGCTAATTGGTACTGAACACAAGGTACCGTATTGGAATGTCATTCGTTTTGCAGGCATTTGGTCATAAACTGAAACAGAAGAAATTCTGATTCCTGACGCACTAGATGAAAAGACACAGGATCAGCAAAGAGATCACAATTCATCCCGAATAGGGATATGAGCATCTGTACCTAAATTCAAGACAATTCTTACAGGATTCATCCTCTCGGGACCATGAATGTCTGATCAAAATTTCATGGCCATCTATCTGATATTGAGATATTTCAGCCTGGACCAAATTGTTGAATATCATCATTAAAAATCACATTAACACAGCCTTGTTGAGTTGTGATCAAAACAAAAAGACCACACAGGTTCACATGAACCCCACTTATAGGAAAATGGTCCATGTTTTCTTTAGCAATCCCACTTAACAGCGAAAAAGCTTTTGTGTTCCCATCTTCTTAATCTCCTTGTTCGTTCACAGCCACCACGCCGCCTCTGAGCAAAGCAAAGCAAAAGTAGTTCTCAGTTCACAGTTTTAATTTATTACGAAGACTCTCAGATATTAATTACTCGGTGGGGTTTACTGATAGCCAAATAATTAAGTTAATGAAGAGGAAAATAAAGCGATCAAAAGCCTGATGGTGATGTCACACAGGCCCATTTTAATTTCCAAGAGCAACAGCATGATGAGTGTGTGTAACTGCAGCGGGGCGTTTTATTGGGTCCCCATGTAAGGGCTGTGATTAAAGAGCGGATTGGAGGACGTGCAGCATGGTGTCATTTAGCCCCCTCTCAGACCACAGTCACATATTTATATAGTGATTAAATGTATTCTTAACTGGCTGGACAGACACAGGCTGCTCTTGTGAAAAAAAAAACAGGGCTGTACAATGATTGGAAGAGCCTTTAAACACTGATGGGACTTTTAGTGGAGACTTTGTTGTGGCTGTAAGTAGAAGCTGCATAATGTACTATTAATCTCAAAAACAGCATGAAATGGAAGAGCATATAAAAATGTAGTATAAAAGTATAAAGAAAAAAAAGAAATGTTTAAAAAAAATTGTCACTGAAATTATTCACTGTATTTGATTAAATTATGTGGTAATTAATCGGGATGTATGGCTTCATTTGGTGTGCGTGTGTGTGTGTATGTGTGTTTATACATACATATACATACTGTAATAGTAGTATATATATATATATACACACAGCGGCAGTTCTGCTGAAATTCCTATTAAAGTCACAGAATCTGATGGTTCTCAGGATAACATAAGACTCCCTTTATCACAGGTACAAAAGAAGGAAGAAACCTCAGGTAGAGCCATGGCTGGATTAAATACTTTAGGGCCCCAGCGCAAAAATTTGTTTGGCTCCAATAGACTCGCATTAAACATGGCAGATTTATTGTTTCACCTGGCACCCAGTAACCCATCAGTATTCTAAAGCTGAAATGAGTAGTTGATTAATCAATTGGCTGTTGTAAATTAATTCACAACAGTTTTGATCATTGATTAATAATTTAAGTAAAAATGCCAATGATTCACTGGTACCAGTGTCTAAAATGTGAATATTTGCAATTTTCCCTAGTTTTATATAATAGTAAATGCACCATATTTGTTTTTTGACAGTTGGTCACACAAAACAAAATATTTTAATATATGAACCTAGGCTTTAGGGAAGAATGATGGAATAATCTTACTCTGCCTGAGATTTTTTGTGTGTTAGTTACTTGACACAGAAAAAAAATAGCAATTTAATCAGACAAAACCTTACAACAGAAAGCTTAATATAAAGGTCTTATTATGTAGATTGAAATTACATAGAAACCTGGGGGTCTGGGGCCCATGGGAAATTGCCTACTTTGCCGGGTTGGTAATCCAGCTTTGGATAGAGCAACAGAGGGATGGGAGAATGAAGTTTAAGAGCTAAAGATGCAATTGTGGATGTGAAAGCAGGACTTTAAGCAACCTGGTTAAGGCCTATTACTAATTATTAATTAATGTGAACCTGCACACACATGCAGCACCATCAAATAACCTGTACAATTCACCAAATGAATCCTTCCAGTTACACGTTTAATTTGAAGGACTCCATGGGAGCTTTCACTGACATTTTTAGGCTTGATTTAATAGGAGAGAATAGAATACATAACAAGCTTGCAGACTGAACCTCTATCAAACTGCAGCTTTTAATTTGGCTGATGAAAAATCATGCGAATCAATAGGACCTCATTTAGTTGTGTGACTTGTCAGCTGTTTGACAAATGCCATTTGGCCTGTTTTATGACACAGGCCTCCCTGACACAGTACAAAAATCACAGCTAATTGATAAGGCAGCAGAGCAATATATGGAGGTCATTGATTCTGTTTCTCTTCTAATTTAATCTGAATACACCAGTCATGTTGATTAAAAATTCCTTGCGTAAATTACAGTTACTGCTGATAATGCTGTCAGTTTTCTCAGCAGCCGGCCCGACAAAAGTGCTGACGGCCTTCTGCCTCTTTCTTTTTTGAACCAATAATGCACAGAGAGCCTGTGTGTTTCTATAAAAATGTTTCACTGTCTATTGAATCACTCAAGTCACCCCTGAGATGTCAGTTCAGCCCTCAGACACAGAGTGGTTACCAGAATCTCCCATTTTCATAGTTAGACAAATAAATCGGCCTCTTTTTGCTTTGTTGGATTATAAATCAGGGGCCCCTTAAAATATTTACACCCTGTAGTTTAATCAATCAGCAAATGTCAGGCTCATTACGTAAATATGAACAGATTGTGCGATCTTTTAACGTAATCATGTGTATTGGTGCAGGTTTCCCTAGGCCCTGTCCTGTCACTTAACTAATGGGCAAGTGAGCAAGTGAATGACGGGCCCTAATAAATTCACATCTGTCCGACTTAAAACGCTGTTCGAAAGCATGAAAAAGGCACAGTTTTTGCCAATAAAGTTTATTGAAAAGGTGTGGGCAGTGGGGGGAATGTATTCATGAGCATCTTTTATTGTTGCAGGAAATGTATGTTACAGGTGTTTTACCAATTATAGTGGAAATACAGGCAGTGGGTTTGGTCTCAACATTGGTAGGGACACAACAACCCTTCCACCCCTCCAAAAAAAAAGAGACTGGCTTTTTAATGCTGTCACCAAAACTGTTTATGTACATATAAGATCTGAATTCACATTCAGAAATGCCCATACGCAAATATAATATATGGACATGTGCTGAATTTCCATTAATGAAATATATGTACATATGAAGTAAAATCATATATGTGTTTGAAGTATAGCCTATATGTATAAAAATTACATATGAAACCTTTCGAACAATATTGACAATGTTGTCTACCTACTAGAAACATGTATTATATTATATTTGTTTATATTATAGACTGACAGTATGTTACATAAACATATATCCATCCCAAAGTCAGTCAGTATGTGTTCATATTATATATGTATATATAAAAGATAGACAGAAAATGTTGCATTTTACTATGGATATTTCATATATGTTATAAACTTATACCTTTGTATATCCAGAGGATGTATGTATGTATGTCAGGATAATATATCCTCTTATGGGTGACACATATTGTTACATCATTCTTGATATAATGACATATATGTCATATATTTGTCATAAGTTACAGAATACTAAGGCATAAATATATCAAAGTATAGTAAGGCATTAAAAAGTCATAGTATAGTAAGGCATGAAAGAATTCAGAGTATGATAAGTCATAGTATAGTAAAAAACGACCTAGTATAGTAAGGCATAAGAAGTCATATAAATGACTTAGTATAGTAAGGCATAAAAAGTCATAAAAAAAGTCATTTTGTAGTAAGGCATGAAAACTACTTAATATAGCAAGGCATA